TCTCTGGGCCAACTCACCCCTGTCCCATGTCTGAGGTATGAGGATGAATCCCAACTTTGCAGCACCTCCCCCTGCCCCAAAGAACTTGCTGTTGGAGCAAGGCCAGAGGAGACCATAAACTTGACAAGAGGACAGGAGCACCTTCCTGGAGAATATTGGGTTGTGTGAAGACCTTACAGCACCTTCTAGTATCTGAAGGAGCCACAGGGAAGCTGGAGAGGGACACTGTCAGGAACTGTAGTGACAGGAAAAGGGGGATTGGGTACAAATGGAAATTTAGACCAGATGTCAGGAGAAAATTCTTCACTGCAAGGGTGGAGATATACTGGTACAGGTTGTCCAGGGAGGCTGTGGATGCCCCATTGCCAGAAATGTCCAGGGCCAGGTTGGACAAGTCCTTCAGCATCCAAGTCTAGTGGGAAGTCTCCCTGAACATGGCAGGGGAAAGTTGGGACCAGATGATTTTTAAGGTCCCTTCCAACTCTTAACATTTGGGGAGTCCATGAACAAAAGAACAGAGCCTTCCGTTAGTCCTTTCCATTAGTGCCTTCAGATAAGATCCCAAACCTTCAGAACAGAAGAGTCAAGGTGAGATTGCAAAACTTTCAAAGCCTTACTCTTTACCCTCCCAAAAGTGAATATTTGTCTTATGCTGCCCAACAGCTGCACGTGGCTTTTAAAGAAAAGTTGTGCATCCAGGATCTGGGCAGCCCTTCCCTGAGCTGATTTCTGGAGCCCTGACCCAGCAGAGGCGACTTGCCAAGCTCTCCCTCTCACACAGAAGGCAGAGCACTCGTTGCTATGTGGAGCTGCAGCTCTGCAGCACAGGCTGCTGGTTCTGTTGTGCTTTGTGTGGTGAATGGAGACACCTTGAATGCACAACCCAGCCCCGACACAAACGGAGAGTGGCTGCTGCCGGAGATAACTGCGGCACAACCTCCTCCTGGCACAGCAGGCAGTGTTTGCATCCCTCTGAAGAGGAGGGTTTGTCCTTCCCTCAGCACAGATCATTAACCACTCACTGCTCCAGGAGAAGATGCTGCACCAAATCCTTCTGTCCTTTTCCCTGCTCTGTGCTGGACATGGGGATGGAGCTCACCCCTCATACTCCAAGAGCTGTGTCCATCCCATGGAGATGCCACCTGCCCTCCACATGTAAGGACACGAGAGCCAGCGAAGTGTCTGGAAGGGGAGGTCAGAGGAGCTGCCCTGCCCCACTGCCCTGCGTGGGGGGACATTGCTGTAGGCACCTTCCAGCAGCTGGTGGCTGGTGGGAACAGGTGGTGGAGGTGAAGGCTGACACCTCTCAGTGCTTAATCGTTCCTGTTAGTAGCTTTATGAATGGCAGCCAAAAAGTGCCATAATTGCTGCAGTGACGCTTGCTAATGACTCGAGTTAGATCTGGCAAGTAGTCAAAGGCAGGAGACAAGAAGTAAAACTGCAGGAGCAGCATCTGAATTCCTGCCTTGGACCACTGCAGAGGAGAGCAGAGCAAGCCTGGCTTGGGACCTGCAGGTATGGACAATGAAGGACCAAGCATGATGGGTGAGCAGTCCAGCACACCCTTGCCTGCCCCCGGGGAGAGAACTGCATGAGAAAGGAGAAGTGGGAATAGAGGAACAAGCCCAGATTTTCAGAGTAGCTCAAAATCCTTTTTCTTGGGGGACGAAGGTGACCCACGTCCTAGAAAACATATTTCTACTCCAAAATCACCTTGAATCAGGGTGGCACAAGCCCTGGGAGAAGCAGGGTAACTCAGCTGACAGCATCACCTCCAGCCCCAGCAGCACCTCCCTTGCACTGCAGGTGCCTTGGGACATGCAGGACACCTGCCGTGGCTCCCACTGCTCCACCCTCGTGGCCATGGGAGAGCTGTTCCTAAGGAGCAATCCAGCCCCTCCTGAGCTAACAGCACGCTCCTCCTGATTATGTATCTGTTTCTGAATGTTAACAAACAGTTGGCAGCAGCTGATTGAGTAGGTTATTAGCAGAATGAAGACAGATGGTGGAGGATTAACTCCAAAGTGTCTTTATTGCGCGGCCGTCATTGCAGACAGCTCTCCCTCTCCCTCTGTCTGCAACTGTCACCAGCTCCATTTCACCCCACAGCCCCCAGTGCTCACCAGAGCGCGGGCCCAGCACGAGACAAGCTCATCATCAATCACATGAGCACAGAGCAGCCACGCTGGAGCTGTGCCTTCCTGCTCCCCAGCCAAATTCCACCCCCAAATCCAGACTTTTCCTGCTGAGGGCTTTACAAAGTGAGAAGTGGTCGCACCTGATACAGCACAGCAGTGCAAGGACAATGCCCAAACTGCTTTTGCTGTACCTGTCATGTGGTGCCTGACAGCTGGGAGAGGCTCCAACACCGCACCTGGGCCTGTCTGATCACTACACAGAGATTGAGATGAGGAGCTGATGGAGCTGATGGAACTGATGGAGCTGACGTGGGCAGAGGCACATCCATGGACACCGATCTTGGCTCCTCATCCTGGGGCCCAGCTCAGCTGGAAGAGCCACATCTGCAGCCAGCTGTGCTAATGGACATCATCCCTTGCCAGCTGGTCAACAAACAGCACAATGCCACCAAAGGCCCTTGCTGGACACCTGTAACCCAGATCTATTTCACTCTGCTGGGAGAGCTTGCCAAACAGATCTGTGTGCATCCAGACTGGATCTTCTCTGTGGGGACAGCCAAAACCACCATGTTCACAGAATCACAGAATATCCTGAGCTGGAAGGGTCCCACAAGGATCATCCAGTCCCACTCCTGGCCCTGCACAGACCCCCCAGCAATCCCACTCTGGGCATCCCTGGCAGCACAAAGGCTCCTGGAGCTCTGGCAGCCTCGGGGCCGTGCCCATTCCCGGGGAGCCTGGGCAGTGCCCAGCGCCCTCTGAGGGCAGAACCTCTTCCTGAAATCTGACCTAAGAAATTATTTCCCATCAGAAAATGATTCTTCAACACTGTCTAGGCTTCCAACCCCTCTTGTGCTTATCCTCCTCCAAGCCATTGTAGATGTCTGCAGTAAATGACAGGAAGGTTCTAAGTGTCCCTGCAATTACCTGTTTCCTCTGGGATGGAGACCCTACACCTCATATTATCCCACTGCCCCACTGCCTTCCTTTGCTTTCAGTTCTCTCAGCTCCCTTGTAACTATTAATAGGGCTGCTCTTCAGCCTCTTTTTAAAGGGAGAAAAAGCTCTCACTTGGCATAAATACAAAAGGGGAGCTACTTTCTCTCCTCACCCTGGCAAGGGAACTGGCCCAAAGAGTCTGGCTCAGGCACCTTGGGCAGGAAATTCCTGTAGATGACTAGGCACCTGACCCCACCCCAGCTCACACCATACAGTGTGGATCTGTACTGCAATCCACCAAAACCCTGGGAAGCTGGATGTCTGAAATTGTCATCTGTAACTGCTTCTAATGAAAACACAAGTCCTAGGTGGTCTTTGTAGCCATGGAAATCCCCCTGACTTTTGTTTTTGGCAGATTGTACCTTTAAACATAATGGCCCTGCAGCCTGCAGGGGCCAGAAACTGGCTGCATGTCAGGCAGGAACACTTTGTTCCCTTTCCCTCACAAAAGCTTTACTTTTGGCCTTTCATGTTTCTTTGTTCTCTCCACACAAAGCCATGCTCAGCCTGAAAAGGGGGCTCACTTCGTAGGCTGACGCAGGCTCTGAATCCATCAGGGGACCAGAGCAATCCCAAAGGACTGGCAGGATGCCCAGGGTCCTGTCAGCCTCCAACACCCTGTGAGCATCCCCAGGGTCTGGGCACAACCACAGACAGCCTGTCCAAGAGGCTGGAGGGACAGGAAGGTACCGAGAGGGAGGCTGCACCTTCTCACAGCACTTGTGTCCCATGGGGCAGCCCCTTCCCATTAAAAACGTCCTCTAATCAATGTTTAAAGAGTGTGTGGTAATTAACAAGCATGAGGTGAAGCCTCGTGAAGTACTTTCCCCATGTTATCAGGGCTCCTGGGAATGTGAAGGAACCTTTGATCTTCTAACTGATATTTGAACCATAAACTTGCCTCCATTAGAGTTTTACTTCATGGAAACAAACTCACCTTTTACTCTCATGGAAAAAGGCTTCCTGCAGGAGCAGACACCCCCATGGCTAACTGCTGGCAAAACTCCATCCCATGCAGGGAAAAAGAATTATGCAACAGTTTGGGTTAGAAGGGACCTTTCAGGGTCACCCAACCTTCCTCTAGACCAGGTTACTCAGAGCCCCATCCCTTGGATGTTTCCAGAAAAGGAAGTGCAGCAGGGCAAGAGATCACACCCTTTGTCCAAATTATTTTCAATCAGAATCCCCAAAAAGGGTTATATCCACACTTGGATCAAGTTTCCAATTCCCAGAGTGACCTCACAGAAGCCAAACTGTGACACATCCTGGAGACCCTCCCATCTCACCAGGCTCTGGACTTCCTTCTCTCATCCAGCATTAATCAGAGGGGGCTGCACCAGGAAAAGAAGCGACCAGAAGCAAGGATGGCAGTTCTGAGCATAAATAGTTTTTGTTTAGTTATTATGCTTCATAATTATTTATGATATTTCTATGGATTAATCAATGCTCATAAAGTACTTGGGGAATGACTGGAATATAAAATAGGGAGATTTTAGCAGAAGTTTGAAGAGCTATGTAACAGTGACTCTGCGAGGTTCAGAGGCACTGGAAACTGGGATTCTGGAAGTGACATGGTGACCACTGCCACCCAAATAGAACAAGAAGAGTAGATGCAGCAATTGCTGCAAGAGCTTCCTGTGTGATAAATCCTTTCTGTAGGAAAAGACAGTGGGTCATGGATGTATGGAACTACAAAGCTCCTGCTCTTCTCTTGCAGCTTCACACAGGGGTCTCCCCACATGCCCTCTAAGATGTTCCAGAGATCAAAGGGGAAGCAGGATTTCAGCACACCCTCAGAGGTGAAGCCCCTCACAATGAGATAGCTAAAGAGGAAGAAGAAGAGAAGGTGAGGGAACTGCTCACCTTCAGTCATCCTGCGGTACTTCTCCTTGTACATGAACCCCAGTACTAGGCAGCATCCTCTTCCTGGGAGCCCCAGTTCTGCAAGAGAAGAGAGCGTGGGGTTAGACTGGGCTGGGGACAGGAGCAGGCACCTGGGGCTGCTGCAGGGAGCAAATCCTGCTGGAGACACCCTTCAGGAAAAGTGCCAGGAAGGTGAGCACCTAACTGAAGTCTTTGGTCAGCCTCACAGAGCTGAGCTTGGCTGGGCCCCTAGACTGTATCTAAAGACAGGAGGGACAGCATCCCCTCCCTTGCCTGTCCTTAAGCTCTCCTCCATTCCAAGTGAGGGAATGAGCTGCATCTTCTTCCACAGCAGCTTGTTTCAACAACAGGACTCTTTCATCCCTTTCTCCCTTAGTGGGGAGCAAAGTGAAACGGGAAATGGGCCTCAGTAGGGAAGATAATTCTGGCCTAAGGAATCTTGCTCTTTAGAAGCAAGCAAGTGACCCTATGAGCAGGAGTGTGCCAGAGTCTGAGGAGGCACAGGCCTTTGATGCCTTGATTTGTTAATGGAGCTTTTTGACTCTTGGTAACAAACAGAGAGATCTGAGCGTGGGTTTTTCCAGAAGTAGGCTGCGAGCACAGGCACTCTCCCCGTGCGCATCTCAGAGAGGCAGAGAGCTCTCGTTCTTCAAACAAATTCTCCTGTGTCACAGTGCAGAAAATTAAGGTACCATGTCCCCAACGCTGCCTGCGGACCTGCAGAGCTCCTCGGGGGCTTCTGTGCTCTGCAGAGCCCTGCTGATCAAAGCCCCTTTGATGTTTACTTAATGTGGCTGTGGACTCTGCGGAGCCCCCTCTGCCGAGGAAGTTGTGCCGCTCGCAGGAGGGGAAGGCGGCGGAACGCGAGGCTGGAGAGCGCAGCGGTGGCTGGAGAGTGGAGCAGGACCTGCCTGGCAAGCTTGGCTTTCAGTGCCACGAGGCAAACTTCGGGTTGAATTGCAGATCTGGATTGTGTCCAGAGGAAGAGGGAAGTGTGATGTGATGAGGGAAGATCCCCAGATCCACCTGGGTATAGACCCAGACATAGAGAATCCCTCCCTAGCAGTCCTCGCTGCCACGGCATGCCAGCAGAGTGATTATATCCTCCTCTTGTGCACAGTATGAGGCAGAGTTTGAGCCTAAACCTAGAAAAAAACCAGACTTCTTTTGATGCCACACACAAGCCCAGTTAAAGCACTTTCTCTAGCATTATACAGGGCTCCACCTTGCAGGAGGCCCCTGGTCTAAGGCTCCCACCAGGGAGGAATCAGCATCTAACCAAAACAAATCACATATGCCAATCCACTGAGGCTGATGCTCAGACAAAGGCAAGTCTCTTGAAATAATCAGAGTAAGCTGAAATTTAATTGCTCCCCTAAATCTGCCTTGTCCTGGAGGGAATGCCCTGGAGAGAAACAGATGTTTCCAGAATGTGACTCCAGCTTTCATGTTGTCTTTGGGGGTGCTTGTAACTCCTTCATTGGCCACAAAAGGCGGTGACTAACTCAGGTGAAGATGTCTAAAGATCAGGGCAGATGACTCAACCAATAGAACTCTCAGTGGCTTCTTGAATTAACAGGAAGGAGTAACGAACAACCATTGTCCGGGTCTGATGGTGGAAACCAGTTCTCTTGCTTTCCAGGACGGAGATAACGTGCTCCATCATGGTCTGCATGAAGTGAACAGCCACAAACACACTCAGAAAGGTGCTGGCCTGCAGGGAGTTGGGTGCCTCAGACGGCAGGGACAGCCAGCTCAGGCTGCCTCCCTCAGCCCTGGCTGATAACGAGGATCGATAAGACTTTGCTGACCTTGGGGGAGGTTCCATGCAGGATCCTGTGAGGACACACACTCCGTGTGCCTGGCAGAGCCCTGAGCCTGCCCAGAGCCCCCAGGGCCGACTGTGCAGAGCCAGCAAAGCAGGTGAGAGCCTTTATGTCTTTATTGATAGGAAAACAAAACCACATCGATTGCTATTGAGCCTCCAACGAGCACCAAGGTATCAAAGTAATTAAAACAACACAATTAGATTAGTGTCAGACAAGGCAGCAGGGCCCACAGTGCAGCTGAGCAAGCCAGCTCTGCTTGCTCAGATGTGCACACAGGGCCTGTGAATGGATGCTGGCTGGGTTTTCCTGGACACAGAGCTGGGGTGAGGGGGCCTACCACCCCTGCACACACCATGAGCACAAACATCACCAAGATCGCTCCGTGGCCTCTCTGGACTCACCCCCGCAGCTCCAGCTCCTTCTGATGATGGTGGCCCCAGAGCACCCGAGCCAGGGCAGTGCTGAGGGCAGCAGGAGCTGCAGTGTCCTGGGACAATCCCACCGCTCAGGTGTCCAGCTCTCACCTTCCCCTTGCAGTGAGCAGAAAGCTCCCCAAAAGGGGGTTGTGGGCAGGGGCTGCAGCCCCAGGCAATGGCTGTGCTGCCCAACAGGCCCAGCTGAGCCCTCAGAGAGGGCGGGAGGCTCAGGCTGAGCTGGATCCCGAGGAAATGTGGGTTCTTGCCTCTCTGGAGCCTGGCTCAGCAGGCTGCTGTGGGTGCCTGTCTCCCGTTTGCCTCCCCAAGGGGTGCTATAATTAACACTTATAAACCACTTTGATATCCCATGATGAAAGGAGCTGTACAAAAGCACTGCATTATAATAATTCATACCATAAATTTGTGAGAACATGCAAAAATCTTTATAGCCAAAGGCACCTTTAAATACTTGAGAGAGCCTTTAAAAGGTAAAATACTTCAAGATGACTCTGCTGCCTAAGGATGTCTCACCATTTTGGCTTTTAGTGGCTACCTAAAGCTAAAATAGTTAAGCAGATACGCAGCATTTTAAATGTCTTGGCTATAGGAGGGCTGCTGAGACACACCAAAACCAGAATGTTTTAACCCTTGTGTGTCCCCATCTCCCCCAAATCAATCCCATCCATTTCATTGCGATGATAATTGAATTTCTCAGCATCTCAAAAGTAGTTACAGCTGAAGTTGATCATCCCACACACTGTGATGAAGTGGGAGCTAAGGTATCCTGGTTGGAAAACATGCATCAGAACCACGGTTTCCACTCTCTCAGGAGTACCTGCATTAATTCACCCCCAAACTGGCAGAAGAGCCACTCACTGGGTAAAGCAGGAGCAACTTCAAACCACAAATTGCCAGTGACAACAAAGCAAAAGCCGATTAAAAGACAGACTTTGGAGTCTTTGAGAAAGGGATCAAGGGATCCTCAGCCTGGGAAATAGAGGGAAAAGTTACTTAGGAAGAAAGATCTCTCAGTGCTGGCCCAAACTACAGATTCCTTCTGCTTTTTCCTTGGTTCTTTCATTGTATGGGATTTTTTTTTCTCAATTTTAGGGCAATTCCTTCCCTCACCACTCAGGAAGGGAAGGAAATATCAGATCACCGGTGCACTAAAGGCTAAAGCTGCAAAGCTGTAATAAGGGTTTATTAACATAATCATAATATGTACTATTGTGTAGCTATATCCCACCAGGAATGATAATAAACATTTAATAGCCCAATAATACCTGTTTAATAATTTTCAGCTCACCCTGTCTAATTGCAAGTTTATTAAAGAACTATAAACTTTATAATCGTTGTAAAGGCAAAATTGCAATTCCATTGCTTATTTAATATTGAGCTAATGATATTACAACTAAGTTATATTTTCCCATACATATTAAATATCAATTAGCTGGTTTAAACTATTGATTTGTATTTAATTAACTATGCTATTATATACCAATTAAACTCTTATAAGAGAAGCAGAAACAGCTGGTCTCTAAAATTAAATTTTTAAAACTTTGTATTAACATAAATATCACGTTTTGATTTTGTCATGTTTTCCTTCTACAGTGATGGCAATTTGCTACCTGTAAATATTTTTTTCTGATTGCATGTTATATCCACGAGTTGAACTCTACTTTCTGGGATGGGGAATGGGCAACCTCCACGGTAGATATCCTACTGTCAGTGACACCAAAATGTGGAAACTGGGCAAGGCAGAGGGCTGGAAAAGCCTTATCTCACCTGGAGATCCCAGAAGCAAAGAATTTGGCTGGGAGCTCTTCAAAGAGCATGAAATTCTCCAAGGAGAGAAGCTCAACACATTCCTAAGTTGGCCAGCAAGGAGAAGATCCTACCTGACAAAATCGAAGAGATTTTGATGGAGAATCCTCATCCTCCTGCTTAGGAGTTTCCTGTCCTAGGGGATGCAGTTTCCTGCTGTACATGGGTGCCTTGGTAAAGAAGCAGTATGGACAGAAAAGCCTGATTTCCCAAGGTTTTCCATGCTCTTGGCTTCACTGTGACTAAGGATGCTGCATCCCAAAAGTTTGAAAAATAGGTGAAGGAGCATTTTCTTTGTTTTCCATAATTTTGATTTCTGGGCTCAGAACCATCCCAAACATCCCTGTAACCTCTTCAGAGGACCCTGCCCTGGGCAGCCATGGAGCACCTTTCCCTCCAGGTTCCACTGCCATCAGTGCTGGGTTCAAGCTTCCTTCCTTGATGTTGTTTGCATCCATGAGCATTCCTGAGCAATCCAAACTACTGCTGCCATTTGGCAGAGAGCAAACAGATCCTTTGGCACAGAATTCCTATATTACACTGTTAAATCTGCAGAGCAATCCAAGATCTTCAGAGATGAAAAAAGCCATACAAAAGCACATTATTATTATTAAATCTGTGCCTGGTTAATTTATAAAAATGTATTAAAAAACTTAAGAGGCTTCCCAGATGAGAAAATGGGCGCATTACTGTTTGAAATATGAATGAAGCAGAGATCAGTGTTAAATGCCGGAGTGGTATTGTATTTTATTCTACAGCGCTCTGCAAAAAAGTTGCATTTATAAACCCATTTATTGTATTATGTACTCGCAAACCACCTTGTCATCCATTTATTGCACAAATAAAATCTTAAAAGCAGAGGATTAGTTGAGTGTGTCCCTGTGGGACCACAATCTGACTTTAAAGAATCCATCAATGAAAGAAAACAGATGGAGCAGAGATGTTTGCCAGCTCATTGCTCCGAGATGGAAAACACAACTGGCTATTCTCCCACAGCCCACAGACCTGGAAAGAGAGAAGGACATCCACAGGGCTTGTGGAAAACTGTCCTCATTCAGAAGCCAGGTCTGGTTGAAGAATTTATCATTCCAGTCTCCTCTCTTGTTGCTGTACAGGGTGAAGACCTTGGAGAGGACAGCTCAGCTTTGCATGGTGAGAGAAAACTCCCCAAAATTGAAGCCCTGTGTAGAAGCTCTGTTAAGCCCTAAATTTGCCTTAAACACCACCAGAGAGGCACCTACCTGCATTTGGGAACAGCAACAGCAGAAACCAGTGCCAGGGCTGTTGTCCCTACTGGGAATTTGAAGGGTGAAGGTCTGGAGGATCCTTAAAACTTCTCTCAAACACTTCTTTTGGGTTAAAAACCATAATGGAAAAAGACAGAAAAGCTTGGATGTGCTGATTTTTGCTATGCCTCTTTCAACCCAGTAGAAAATCAGAGTCTTCATAACCCAGGAGGGTGTTTTTTGGGACAAACAATTTTGGACAGGTACATGCCTTGAATATTGGAGTACACTGAAATTCAGCTTTCCAGGTGCCTTGAAAGGCATCAGCACTGGAAGCTTCAAGAGAAAGAGCAGAGAAACACACAGGAGGCAGCTTTTCCCAGGAACAAGCTCTGCCCTGGTACCAGACAATTAAAAGTTGCTTCTTAGCAGGAAACACAACTGGCAGAAGGGGAAAGAAAGAAGAAGGATTTGTGCTGCTGAGCAAAGAGAATGATATCCCTGTGTTCCCTGGCTAATGAAGGGAAAAGAGGCACCTCCAAGTTGTAACTCAGCACTGGAGTGTTTTGAAGAGGCTTTTTTCTCTAGTGGCAACACAGAGCCTTTGGTCCCTAAAGTTCAGAACTGAATCTGTCTGTATTCCCCACTCTCCTCCCCAGCCCTTCATGGCTGATACACTTTTTCTGAACCTCTCACAAACATGTCCAATTTGGGGAGCATCTGACAAGTGAAGAAAAATCTTCACAAACCTCAAATCCAGTCATTCTTTGGATTATTTTTTTCCTTTTTCCTGAAGTTAAGAAATCTGATGGAGCTGCAGTAGGAAAAAACAATTCACCCCAGCATAAGGTGGCTGCTGGTACTTGAACCTTCCCACACAAACAGCTTTCACAGCTTTGTGTGCACAGGCATGTGTTTATCCTGGTCAAATTGGCCAAAATGCTTTGTTAAGGCCTTGGGGCAGCAACTTCCACAGCTTAACTACACCTCATGTGCAGGAAAAAGTATTTTTGCTGTATTTCCTACTATAAAAGTTATAACTTCCACACAGGGTTTTATTTGAAAGAAAACCAAATAAAAGGTTATGTAGAAACAATCTAATTTTTTTCACTACTGAATATCAAACCCACTCATGTTTGCTCTGCTGAGAGCTGGGTCAGTTATCCCACACAGTCAGAGAATTCCACATCATGGCAAAAAACACACCCAGGCATTGGAAAAGGCTGGTGGGGCTGCCCATGATGCCAAATTCAATTAGTAGTGCCATGGGAGACACCTGCTCCCTCCATACCCCACTTCTGAAGGCTCCACTCGTGTGGGGTCGGTGTTTCCTTTCACAGTCTCACAGGATGCAGGTGTAGCTGCTCTCTCAGGCGCCTCAGTGCCTCTGGTGCTCCTGGCCTTGCTGCAGCCCTGGAGCTCAGATCCTTCCTGTGAAGTCCCTGAGTTGTTCAACCAACTCTCCTGCTGGTGGCTCTGACCTGCACTCCAAGGGCTTCCCAGGGAATGAATCTACTTCACTACAGCCCATTGTGCCTGCTGCTCCAGCCAAGTCTTCAAATGTTCTGTTCCAGTGCAGTGAGCCGCTGCAGGAAGGGCTGGAACAAGCCTTCCAGGGAAATTAAAGCAATAGGCAAGCACCTGCCTGTGCATTCCCCAGTCTCTCCTAGTGTTTCCCCAGGTCAGCCCCTGAAACCAGCACACACCACCATCTGTGCTATCCCACCAGGAGATCTGAACTGACAGGATTTGCTGATTATGGGGAGGTGGCAGGACAGCCAGGGACAGGGCAGGACAACCAGGGACATGGCAGGACAGCCAGGGACAGGGCAGGACAACCAGGGACATGGCAGGACAGCCAGGGACAGGGCAGGACAACCAGGGACATGGCAGGACAGCCAGGGACAGGGCAGGACAACCAGGGACAGGGCAGGACAACCAGGGACACGGCAGGACAGCCAGGGACATGGCAGGACAGCCAGGGACAGGGCAGGACAACCAGGTGTTGGGCACGTCTGTCTTGGCCGCCCTCGGTGGCTGTGTTCACCAGCCCACACAGATCCATGTGCTCCATGCAGCTCCACCATGGCCAGGGCAGGAGAGGGGAACAGGCAGTGTCCCTCACCCTGTCTGACTGCTCCACCTCCTCTAGTGGTTCCTCTGCTTGAGCTGAGGGCTGGGATGGCCCTGGGCTGTCTGTCACTTCCCCCCATGCTCTCTTGGCAGCTCAGCCCTGGACTTGCAGGGACTTGGGGACCTGCCTGGCAAGGGCTGCAATTGCATATATCTTCCTCCACCTACCTTCTTCCACCCCACCAAACCCAGGAGCTGCACATTCAACTCCAGACAGCAGAGAAGTGACCCCACCCTCCATGTATGAAACCCATCCCAGCTTTCTGCAGCACCCCTTCCACTGAAAAAAAGCTCTCCAGGGAAATAAAATGCCTTAATGGGGACATGGCCCAGAGACTGGAAAAGCCCCAGAGTCTGCAGCAAAAGGGGTTTGTGTGAACTGGGGGGGCTGCAAGGGAAGGGGTGTTTGGGAGATGGATCGAGCTGGTCTAAAGCTGTGTTGAGCCTTCCTGCTCCATCTCCAGTGACTGGATCAGGATGTGCTCCTGCAAACTGGGAAGGCTTTCAACAGCAGGGATTGTGAGACTCTGAGACGGTCTAAAACCAGCTCAGAACAAAACTGACAGGGAGAAAGGCACAAAATCCACATATTTTGATTCCTTAAGAGTGCAGTGTTTTCTCTGAAGGCCTGATTTCACTGGGGCTTCTCATTTCACTGAAAGCCCCTGCACTGTTCCTTGCTCCTGCTGAAGGACCCCTGCGTGTCCCACCCCGATCCAAGCAACATCAGCCACAGCCACAGCACATTATTCAGGAGCCTGGTGGGAACATCTCATGGTGGAATAAATAACATTTCTTGTTACTCAGAGAGCCACATTTACATGCAGGTCTAGAGCTCCACACAACAGTGGGAGTGTCCCTGCCTCACTCCCCACCCAGAGCACCTTGTAAAAACAAACAAACAAACAAACAATCAAACAAATAAATAAACCAACCAACCCCCTAAGGTGAATATCCAGCACAATAAAACAAGTTCAACTGGGAAGAGAACATGCCAATGGAAACACTTTGCAATAAACCCTGGAAGTCCCCACGCTGCTCTGACAGATTGTGGATAAGCTGGAGAGAAAAATAATAAAAATAAACCCACCGAACCGTAAAGGTCACATCTATAGCCGTGCTCTGGATCAACAATGGCTCCTCACGCCTCCCACCTTGGACGTGTTTCTGCCTAAGCCATCGTTCTTACAGGTCTGGAAGATGGACAGCAGCACCGGGAAGCACAAACCACTTCTGCCCTTGGAGGTGTGCTGGGATCACAGCTTTCCTCTGCCTGACCTCAGCCACTGCCTTCAAGCCCATGTGCCCCAGATCCTCCTGCCCCTGATCCAGAGAATCCCATTGCCCAGCAACTCCAGAGGCTGCACGTGCTGGCCACCCCGAGAAGTGCCCAGCTGGTCCAAGCTGGAGGAGCTGTGGCCCTTCCCTCCCCTCTGGAGGCAGGGAAAGCACTGCAGCACCGTCCTGCTCTCCGTGCACACACACAGCCCAAGCAGGGATCCCTGCTGTCCTCCTATTACTGGGAAATCACACTCCAGCCTCACAAGCTCCATTACTCCTGTGTATCGTATAATTAAATTCTATTTGCTGGTTACCTCACAGCATGGCTGCAATTCTTCTGCATCTGAGGCGTTTTAAAAATATTTCTGATCTTCAGCTTCTATTTCATTTTTCCTCTCCTTGGCAACTCTCAGCCATCTCTTTTAGCTGCCTTCCTGCCTGTGAGGTGGAAAGGGGCAGGAAACCTGCTGTGACCAGTCCATGCTGTGCTGTCTCCTCTCCAAGATGAAAGAGATCAGTGACGTGAATGTGTTATCTTAGGGCAGACCCACTGCACAGGCTAATCCCCATTTCCTCCTCAGATGTCCAAACTTGAATTACTTCCCAGGAATTTGAATGGGAGCTGAGATTCCTAAACAGCTTGGGGAAC